CGCGGATGTCCTCGTCGCTGAGGACGGTGCCTCCTTTGGACGCCTCCAGCAGCAGGTCCAGGAAGGCTAGACGCCGCTTGCCGCCTGCGCCCCAACACGCAATGGGAAGGAGACATTAGTAGCCCCAAGAGGAATCAAATGGTGTAATATGTTCGAGCACAAACAAGCAAAATCACACACACGTATGATACTACTTGGTTTGTACGATAATTTATTGATTGATTCCGGACGCGTCAACTGCCAAGTTCTTTATTCCCGTATGTATAGTGCATGCGTTTTCCTCGAGAGGTGGTGGTGAGAGGTTACGATATTCCCCGCTTGGTGAGGAGATCCGGCGCCGACGTACATCGGCTAGATGGTTTTCCCCAACCAGGTATCTCCCACCAACTATGCTCTCAGCCGGGCCAAGCTCTAAGCTCCTGAATGATCTCCCCGATGTGTGTGGTAGTGTACTGATAGCGTGTCAGTAAGAAAGGGATGATGATGGGATAAGGAAAAGAGAAAGAGAAGATCACGCGCTGTTCGTGGCCCATATATTAGGGTAGTGCTCCGGTATTCGCCTGTGTTGCTAAGGGAAACCACTGAAAACACGAGAAAGAAACCACGGATCAGAGCAGCCGGCCGCTAGAATTATGCCCGAGGCAGCGGTTGAAGTCAACCTAGCTATGCAGCATGTCCAAAATCCTGCCATCGCCGGGAATGGAACCACACAACCTCCCGGTAATAGGTTTTGGAGTGACATTACTTGATGCCCTGATCCACCTATGACGGTGTTGTAAGACAAGGTAGCCCGATCCAGAACATTCGGCATTATTCGTAAGAGAATACAAAAACCTTAGATTAACATACAGAATAGCCATACCTACAAAACAAAAATCTCTTGGTCCAAAAGGAATGCACGCCACATATTATTCGTCACGTGTACAGGTAGAGTATGTATGGAAAGAAACATCACGACTATTGCTCTTTCGTACTTACCAAAGACTCCTATTTCATTTTCATCTTTGAAATCACTTTGTCTCGGTGCAGAAAGCTTTCTTTCTTGAATTACCTGGAATAATGACAATAATCAGAGTATAATTCTTGCGGACAACATAATTATTTAAATCGCACATGGTTATTCTAATATTCAGAAGGATCATGATGTCAAAATATCTTAATTATTGGATCTTTAGAATGTTTTAAAAGTGTTTTATGAAGATATCAATAAAATTATCTGGGTTTATCGTCATCGAGAAATTCTGTTGAAAGTATTATTTGAATATTAACCATTTGAATGATACATAACTTTGCTCTTTTTAAAATTCGAGCGTAATACAGGATAAGTGTGATTTTAATATTAACCGTTTGAAAGATACATAACTTTGTTCTTTTCTGTATGTGAGCGTCATTCAGAATAAATACAAGTGTTTCATTTTGAATCATTCTATATTGAAAGCTATTAATACTGAATTGTAATTAACAAGCGCACAATTTAAGAAATATGCCAAGTTAATTACGAATAATTCGTATTTACATTCTGCAAAAAAAAGTACTTAAAATGTTAAAAGTGTTGATCAATAATGTTTAGGAATTATAAAAGTCTCGAACTTTACAACTTAGTTGAGCTTTCTTCACACCTTGTTGGTGAAATTATGTACGGTGGCCAGGTCTCTCTTGTTCGCTTTCCCCCTACTGGAACAGTAATAGTAAATGAAGTCTGGATACAGCCAGGGTCGGAGGGCACGCTGAATCATTGCTTCTCCAATGCTGCAAAACATTAGCATTGGCGTTAGATTTTGTTACTC